AAGTGGCAGAGCATGAGGCCAGGTAGGACCAGCACTGGGGCAGCTTCATTCTCAAGTGGGGCTCTCAGCAGCCACAGAGCAGCACACAGGGGCAGCACGGGGTCTACTAGAACGTCCTAGAACCTTCTGCCATGTAGAATGGCCGAATGGAGAAGGCACTGGAAAGTCACCACCAGACCCACTCCTGATGCAGATGAGACCTGAGACCAGAGGTGCCCAGGGTCACACAGCCAGTAGCCAAGGCGCTGCTTCCTAGGCCTTCTCCTTGCCTTGGCCAGGAGCCCCAGACCTTCTCCAACCCCAAAATGCTGCCAAACACCCCTGCTTGATCCAGGCCCTGGGGCCCTGACAAGCTGTCCTGGCCGGGATCCCAGCCTGCCCAGTCACCCTGGAGTCCCGGCACCTCCCCATGCCTGCCTCGAGCTCCCAGAGGGATGGAGATGTGCCATGTTGGGGACACCTCTCAGACCACAGCTGTGGTCCCTCAGCCACCTCCCACCCCCTGCATGGTGTCCCCTTGCTCAGCCTAGCCAAGTGTGTGGATAGGATTCATTCTTTAAACACATGAGTAGGGTATACACCTCCGTGGGAGGGCCCAGGTACCCGTGGGAGGACCTGTTTAGCCCAGAAAGGAAAACAGATTGGGCCAGTGACCAGGTCACGGGTGCATTCACTAGACACCATGCCCCAGGGGACTTCCCAAGAAGTGTCTGCTCACAGTGGCAGGTCCTGACCAGCTGCGCTCAGCCCTGGCTGCCGACGTGCTCACTGCTGCAGGTGTGCAAAAGGACAGAGTGAAATCCCTGCATTTCTCCCAAAACAAGGAGTTTTCAGTAAGTCCACACCACACTCATTGACTCAATTCACAGAGGTTTATTGTATCCCTGCCCCACGCTGGTTCGGGTTAGTCACTGCACAGGATCTCATCTGGGCTAGCCTGGGAGGGGCAGGTCTGGAGTCAGAGGCAGAAGCTGGGGGTGAGCCCTGGGGCAGTGGAGGCTGTGGCGCAGAGGACCGCTCCGGGAGGACCGATGAAGAGGATGACGAGCAAGCAGGGAGTGGAGTTCAGCCGTCTTCCATCCCCCGGGAGCTGGGAGGGCCCAGGCAGAGGTGAGGGCAGCAGAGGAGGAGGAGAAATGGGGGTCTCCAGGTAGAAGAGGAGAGCAGGTAATAGCATTAGCAGAAGCCCAGAGGAAGGAAAGTGTCCGGAGGCTCTCTGTGCTTCAGGAGGCCCGTGGATGGGGACGGGAGGCAAAGGGTGAGTGTTGAAGCAGGGCTGAGCACCAGGCAGCAGGGCCGCACACCTGCCGTTCACCAGCACCGTCCTCCAGGCGGGGACCAGCTCTTGCCTGAAGCCTCAGGAGGTCCTCCCGCAGGGGAACCAAGGGCCACTAGGACCCACCCTACCCCAGAGGGGAGTCTCTGCGACAGCCTTTCTGGGTCCTGGGAGCTGCTCTGGAGAGAGGTTGTGCCCACTGCAAACCCGCCTACCATGCCCCACACTGGAGCAGTAAGGGGAGGTGTCCGAGCCAGGGTCTACCAAGCCCCTCCCTTTCAAGGGCAGACTGCCCCAGGAGGATGGGCTTGGGATCAGAAGGCCATCCAAAGGCCAGCCCCCCGATCTGCCAGGGCTCTGCCGCCAGTCTCCTCCCCGCCTCTCTCCAATTTGCTCCTGGACACCAGATGGACCCCATCCAACTTGTCCCTCCTTTTCTTTCCCCTGCCCGCCCCCTGCTGGAGTTGTAAGAAGGCAGGCAGAAAGGGAGGCGGGTGAGGCCCAGCCAGGCTGCGGGGCAGGAGAAGCAGCCCGAGTTCTAACTCTGCTTCCCCCCCAGTAGAGCCTGCCAGGCCCCTGGGGACCAGGACCTCTAGGAGATGCCTGGTGCTCCTCTAAGTCATAGGTAGAGCTGGGCCTTTGGCCGGTACTCTACCTCCTGACCACTGGGACAGGATAAGACAGTAGGGGCAACAGGTAGGAAAAGCCAGGTCTAAGGTGAGCCAAGGGTGCAGCCTTGGAGAGAGATGGGAAGGAGAGACAGGGGCTGCCCCGGAGGAGAGAGGGTCTAGAAAAGGGAGAACAGTGGCGTGGGAGTCACTGATCCAGGTTCTGTGTTCCAGCAGCCAGTATTGCCTGGACCTCGGGTCTGTCCTCACCTGCACAAGAGGCTGAGGGAGCCAAATGGGCCTTCGAGCCTTGTCCAGTGTTCTGGCGTCCTGACGTATGGAGTGCAGTCTGTGGGCCCACGACACAGCAACAGGTCCCCAAGGCAGCTGACAGCCCTAAGGAAGGGCTGCTTCCCTGAACGTCCCTGGGGCTAGAGTGTGGATCAGAGCCTCCTATTCGGCTGGGCCTGCAGAGGGGACAAGAGGGGCCAGTCTTACCACCACCCAGACCATACTTTCAACACACAGGCACATTCATGCACACACGTGCGCGCGTGCACACACACACACACACTTACACACACATGCATGCAGTGCCACCAGATCTCAGGCAGCACAGAAAGGCTCTCCCAGCCCAAGGTGGCTTATGCATTCTCTGAAACTAACTGTGGGTACAGAGCTTGGGGAAACATCCCATGTGCCTGCACCAAATGCTGTGTGGGTGGGGGCAGGACACAAGCCCTAGACCGACCCTCCGAGAAATCAGAGAATCAGAGCTTGAGAGACTGTGCAGTAAAAGTTGGAACCCTCAACACCCCTGCCTCCGCCCAGGAGGGGCAACCTCAGAAGTCCCCACAAACCTCTCAGAGACCTGCCCGGTAGGAGGCTGCTCTCTCTACTCCTCTCTCCCCGCAAAAAGAGGCCAGGAAAGGGGATGACCGACCAACTCAGGGGTACCCTAATGGAGGGAGCAGACGCGGCGGGGGGTGGGGCGGTTCCAAGGAGAATTCCCTGGCCAGAAAGACCCCTACCCAGAGTGGCGGAGGGCAGCTTGGGAAACTGAGGCAAGAGGGAGAGACCAGGCTGACTTCCATCTAGGTAGTGAGTTCCTGCGGTGTGCGCCCCTGCCCCAGACAGCAGAGAAATCGCCTAACACGGAGGAGAAGAGGGGCCACTTTCTCATGCCACCCCGCCTCCAATCCTCCAGACACACGGGGGCTTGACCTGCTGAAGCCTGGAGTCACAGGTCCAGCGGGGAACTCACGGGACAGAGGGCCCTGCCAAAGCCAAGAAAACCGGAGGGCGGACCTCCGCCCAAGGCAGGCGTCTGTCTCTGCGCGCCCGCCCGCTGGGGCCCTGGTCCTGCGCTTGGCTTTTCCCGACACGTTCCTTCGCGGCCGAAAGCGATTCGCCCGCGCCCTATCGAGCCCAGCCAGCTCCTACCTCGGCCCGGGCGGCGAGCGCTGTCTCCGTCCTGAGAAGAAGTTCGGCGGCTGGTCCCCGGGGCCGCAGGCGCACGGGACGCTGGTGGCGGCGGCTTCGGATTTGGGCTCCGGCCCCACCGCTCCAAACAAGTCCCCGCAACTGCGAGAGTGTCCCGGGCAGTTCAGCTCCCCAGATGGGGGACAGACCCTCGCGACCTGCTTCAGGCCCTACCCTGGGGGACACAGCAGTTCAAGGCGAAACGAGACTTGCTCCCGGCCGGCCCCTGGGACCCTAGGTCAAGGCACCTCCCCACCCCGCTGCCCCTGAGCCCAAGTCGCCAACTCCGCGCCGCGCGCTGCAGAGAGGGATCAGAAGGTCTCAGACGTGGCCGCAGGGCTGGCCAGGGCCCCACGAGTTAGGGAGTTGCCCCGCACCCCTAAACGCTCAGCACACATTTACGGTTGAAAGTACGCACTTGACGCGTCCGGGCGCCTCCGCGGTGAGTCGCGCCGCCGCGCTCGGGGTCCACGAAGGTGGCTCAGTTCGGGCGCTCCAGTCTCGACGTTCCCGGGGTACAGAACAACGTCCGGGGACGAACGGGACGGGTGCGCCCGGCGGCCGGGGCTGTGCTGGGCGAGGCAAGCGGCGAGAGGGGAGCGCTCCGGCGTTCAGGCAACAGCTACCCCTAGTGGGAGAGCCGCCCGGGGCCGGCGCCGCCCCGCGCCCGCTGCCCCGCGCCCCACGCCTGTGGCGCCCCGCGCCCGGGTCGGCTGGGGACGCAGGGCCGGCGCCGCTTTCCCCCAGCCCTCCGGTCTCCGGCGCCGGGCGCTAACCCGCCCGCGGGCTCTGCGCTCCGCACCTCTCAGCCGGGCCCGGGCGGCCGCTGACCTGGGAACCGCGGCGCCCCGCTGGAACGAGATGGGACGGGGCGGGCGCGGCCAGGGCGGCGCGGGCTAGGGCGGCGCGCGGAAGCCTCGGGCAGCGGCGGGGGGCGCGGAGCGCTGTGTGCGTGGCGGGGCGGTGCGGGGGGCGGCCGTGTGCGAGGCGCGAGTGTGAGCGCGCGCGGAAGGCGGGCAGGCGGGCGGGCTCCGGCAGGCGAGCGGCGCCCGCGGGCGAGCCGGGAAGGCGGCGGGAACGCAAAGTTGCCTCCTCGCGGGCCGGCGTCCTTGGCGGGGCGGGAGCCGGGGCCACTGAAGCGGCGGCCGCGGACCCGGCCTCCCGCGGCACCTGGGCAGCGGCCCCGCACGAACGGCAGCGGCGTGGGCGGCGTTGGCGGCGGCGCGCGGGAAGCGAACCGGAGCTCCGGCGCGGCTCGGCGGCCGCCGGGGAGCTCGGCTCAGGTGCGCGGCGAGAAGGGCGCGGGCCGGAGCCAGGCGGCGGGGACTAGGGCGGGCGCAGCGCTCGCGCCAGCTGGAGGACCTCCCCGGCGGACGCTCAGGTCACTGGTCGGGCTCCTGGTCCCTGGCGGCTGCGGCGACCGGAGTACCCCGCCCCTGAGAGCTGGCTGCGGGGCCCGGGCCCGGCCGCTCCGCCCTCCGTCCGCCTGTGCCCGCCCTTGGCCTAGGATTTCTAGGGCATTGGCCGCGCAGCTGGGTGATCCCTCCGGGCTCAAGTTGCAAGGGGGCGGGCCGGGCCGGAGGTGGAGTCTCCCGCCAATTGAAGCCTCCGCTATAAATTGAACTCCCTGCACCGCCGAAGCCCAGATGCCTCGCCAGGCCGCGTCGCGGTTGGTGGTCGGAGAGGGCGAGGGGTCCCGGGGGGCTTCGGGGCCTGCAGCCACCATGCTCCGCTCCCTGCTGCTTCACTCCTTGAGGCTCTGCGCCCAGACCGCCTCGTGCCTCGTGCTCTTCCCGCGCTTCCTCGGCACGGCCTTCATGCTCTGGCTCCTCGATTTCTTGTGTATCCGCAAGCATTTCCTGGGCCGCCGCCGCCGGGGGCAGCCCGAGCCAGATGTGGAGCTCAATAGTGAAGGCGAAGAGGTGCCCCCCGACGACCCGCCCATCTGCGTGTCCGACGACAACCGCCTCTGCACCCTGGCGTCGCTCAAGGCAGTGTGGCATGGCCAGAAGTTGGATTTCTTCAAGCAGGCGCACGAGGGCGGTCCGGCGCCCAACTCCGAGGTGGTTCTGCCTGACGGCTTCCAGAGCCGGCGCATCCTCGACTACGCGCAAGGGAACCGCCCGCTGGTTCTCAATTTCGGCAGCTGCACCTGACCACCATTCATGGCGCGTATGAGCGCCTTCCAGCGCCTCGTCACCAAGTACCAGCGCGACGTCGACTTCCTCATCATCTACATCGAGGAAGCACACCCCTCCGATGGCTGGGTCACCACGGACTCCCCCTACATCATCCCGCAGCACCGGAGCCTGGAGGACCGGGTCAGCGCAGCGAAGGTACTGCAGCAAGGTGCACCCGGCTGCGCTCTGGTCCTTGACACCATGGCCAACTCCAGCAGCTCGGCTTATGGCGCATACTTCGAGCGTCTCTATGTCATCCAGAGTGGCACCATTATGTACCAGGGCGGCCGGGGCCCCGATGGCTACCAGGTGTCTGAGCTGCGTACTTGGTTGGAGCGCTATGATGAGCAGCTGCATGGTGCTCGGCCCCGGAGGGTGTAAACATCCAACGCACAATTGACTGAACTTGCTGGGCTGTGCCTTCCAGCCTTCGAGCCTTCGAAGCCCACGTGCAAGCGCCTCAAACCAAGTCACGCTTGGCGAGGCCCCAGTGACACAGATGTGCTGAGCCACCATTCCAGACTGAGTCTGCGCCCTCAGCCACCTAAACAGTCTCCCCTACCTCGCTGAGACTCTGCTTTTGAACTGTCTCATTCACACCTGCCTGGCTCACTGGAAATCCTCTTCTGAGCGCGGGATACGGCTTTCCCTTGTCCATGTGCCCCTAGAGGATTTGCCTTTACAACAGCACTTTCTTATGCCCGCTCCCCAGCGTGCGCTCAACCAAGTGCTCTGGCCCAGTGCGTGCCGCAGCGCACAGAGAAGACCTTGGCCACGCCCGCGCGCCCTGAGGCACTGAGCGCAGCTGGGTTCCAGGAGGCTTTCGGCTCAGCTGAGCTAGTTGCCTGGCACCCACCTGTCGCGAGTGGAGAGGGGTTCCCTGTTGCTTTTGTGTTATTTCCTATCTCTGGTGGGGGAAGGGAGTCGGGGATGGGGAGGGGTGGGCAGGGCAGTTTCCCCCACTTGTTTTGGGTGCACAGGGGCCCTATTGCTGATGATGAACTGTCTCTAACTGGTCTTGACCACGAGCTAGTTCTGAATTGCAGGGGCCTCAAAGCAGCGCCTGAACCTTGAGGGGGAGAGTGCTCTGGGTTTCCGTGGGGAAACCACCTTAAATGGGTGGGGGGAGGTTTGGTTGTCTGCTTTGGGACCAGAGGAAGATTGCTTGAGAGGCATTGGCGAGGTTCGCAGCGCCCCAGGGAGAGAGAAAAGGCTGAGAGTCCTGGGGAATGGGGTTGGGGTGACGGAGTCCGGGGGGAGAGAGGTGGGGGAGGACCTTGGTCCCCAGGTGAGGGGCACCCTAGGCAGAGCTGCTGATTGTGGGGCTGAGAGGTGGAGGGCCCCTGATTCGAAGGCCATTTGGTGAGTGTTTTGCTGCAAACAGTTCCTGTATATAAACTTTCAATCTACAATAATAAAACCTTGAAGTAAACGGCTTTCTGGTTGCCTTTGGTCCCTTTATTTTCTTTTCCCTTTGAATAGCGGCAAGAATTAAACACATCCCTCCCTCGAGTCCCCATAGTGGCCTTGGGAAGCTGGGCCGGAAGGACCCTGGGCTAGCAGGGGCGCTGGAGGAGGGTGGAGAAGAAAGAGGGTCTGCCGCGATGCCCAGGGAGCTCCCACAAGCGCACGCACCCACCTGGACGGGGACTTTGGGGGCGGGAGAAGAGCAAGGTAGCGGAGCGCCGCGGGGTCCTGGAAAGCGGCGGGAGGGGTAAGGGGATCCTCTCTCGCTCCCGCGCGCGCACGCACACACGAACAGATGCAGCTGCCCCTGCAGCCGCCCGTCTAACTTAACTGAGCAACTGAGCATCTGGCAGTGTGTGGAGGCGGTGATGGGAGGTGGAGGGCGAGAGGGGCTTTGAACCTGGTAGAAACCATTACAGGCAGCGCTGCGCACCTGACTCCTCCCTGGCCCCTTTCCCGCACTTGCAACCTCGCCTCTTCCCCAGCCCTTCCAAGCTGCTGGAGTCCGCGGGAGGCGCGTAGTGGCGGAGGGGCGCCCTCACTTCAGCTGCGGCTCCTACAGCCCGGCCAGCGTGCTGTTGAGTGAGCCCCCTGCCAAGCCCCCTCTCCCCCTCCTCCTGCCCCTCCTCCGCTTCTCCAAGCTCCAGTCAAACCCCACCACCCGCTCCCGGCTGGGAAGCAGAGGTAGGGGATCACTGGGGTGAACCGAGAGAAACCACAGAGAGGAAAATGGTGAATTCCAGGGCGAGGGCGGGGGTTCGGGGGGCGTTAGGCACAGGACCCCGCCTACAGTCCAGGGGTCCCGCGCAATCCCCGCCCTCACTCTCTCACCTGCTACGCCCCGGAGGGAGGGTGACGCCGGGGGCCCGGGGCTAGCTTGGCCCGCAGCCCCCTTTGCCAGCGAAGCCTTGAACAGGAAGTGAGAAGTGGTGGACACAGTGAAGAGCGCTCAGGCTGGAGTGTGTGGATCCAGGTGAGGGGACCGGGCAGGTGAACCCTGGCGCGCCGCGACAACGCCCGGTGAACCCAGGACTGTCCGGGTCCCTGGGGGTGGGGGTGGGTAGTGTCGGTTTGCGCTTAGATGTGAGCGCGGGTGCACTTGGCAGGGTCGGGTGGGGGCGCGGCTGGGCGCGGCAGGCGGGATGGAAGAGACGCCCCCGTTCAGCCAACGCCTTCCCCAATTCTGCGCCCAGCCCCTACGCTGCTCCTCCGTAAAAACTTTTTGGAACTGACATCCTAAATTATTGGATTTGTTTTCCTTTAACAGTATCTCTATTGGAAAATAAAGAAAAATTTAGCACCGACTAGATGTTCGCTTCTCCTCCCCACTACCACCACCCACTACCCTACCTCCGCGCGCGCTTCTTCTCATCCTGAAACCGCCGGGAAGAAAGGGAGATCGCGGCGGGGACGCGGCCCCGCGCCGGGGAGAGCCTTCCCGGAGCTCCCAGCCCGCCCGGCCGGCCCGGACCGGGTCTTGGTGGCGCGGAGGGCGGCCCGGGACAGCCGCAGCCTCCCGGCCCAGCAGAGCGCGCAGCAGCCGCTCTGCATCCCCCTACCCCAGTAGCTTAGGGGTCTCCTTGGACGCGCCAAGCGACCTCCTCCCCTAGCCGGAAAGCCTGCATCCCCCGGGCCTCCTGGAGGTTCCCAGGTCAAAACTCCGGAGCGCGCTTTCCCGCCTCAGCGCCCGGACCTGCAGCGCCAGACACTCCCCACGCGGTCCGCACTCGCTCCGGGTCGCTGCTCCGGGGGACTCCGAGCACCCCCCACTTTTTTATTTCTCTCTTCTTCTTCCTTCCCTCCCTCACTTCTTCCCCTTTCTTTCCGTTTCTTTCTCTCTCGCCTTCCCCTCTTTCTTTTTCTGTTTCTTCCTTTCCTTTCTCCTTTCTCTTTTCCTTGAAAATGTCCCCTCTGAAGGCAATGCACACTCATTGGCGATATAACAGAATTAAAAGCAACCCAAGGTAACTCCCCGTGAGTGCGCCCTTGTCCCTCTCTGTCCCTCTCCCTCACACTTGTAAACACGCATTTTGGAAACAAGGTCGGGGTGCTGTTGGCCTTTTGTAGCCTGCCAGTAACTTGTTACTCCCAAGGCACACCCTCTTTCCTGTACCCTTCTTTCTGTGTCCACAAATAAGCTTGAATGGCCGCACGGCACTCTAATGGATGACCAGCAGGGGTCCATGGGTGGGCATCCCAGGTGTTAGTGGGGGTGAGCAGCCTGCGGGCGCAGCTCTGTACCCCGTTACCCCGGCTAGTAACGTATCTTAAAGTGAACAGCTCGGAAGAGAAGTACGCACACCTTTAAAGAGGTCTGTTTCGCCACGTTTTGCTGAGCCGCCTTCAGGAAGCAACTTGCCTGTAACTTTTATTGTTTTGTATTTTCCCGCTGCTCCCTCTCTCTACCTTTATCTTTAAGTGAAAAATTACAAAGACAATAGTTGAATCCATCCTCCATATTAAATTTTAAATACAGGAGAACACAGAGCAGAAAATGCAAGCCTCCCTCAGAGCAGGAGTTTTCAGACTGTAAATCAGGGCCCAGCAGGGGGGCATGAAATCAATTTATCAGATCAAGTCAAGCATTTGGGAGAATGAAACAGAATAAACACTGTAAGAATAGCAGTGTGCTTTTCACCTAGGGTAGCTGGGGTTTCCTGCAACTTTGGCTTCAGTTATACATATAATGTGTGAGTGTGTGCGTGTGTGCATATGTGTATGTGGGAGTGTAGGTGTGAGCATGTGTGTGTGTGTGTGTGTACCAGGTGGTTGAAATGAAGCATATTTCTCCTGAGGGATCAAAAATGTTTGCAAGCCACCACCTGATCATCAGCACTCCTCCCCCGACCAGGACAGCCCCTGCTGACTGCTGGCTGTGTTTCTCTCCAGATTCTATTTTACATATTTACCGTCGGATATGTCGTATTCTCAGATGAGGAAAAGCGCATTCTCAGACATATTTTCCCTAATTGGGATCATGTCACATAGTGTTTGATGACACCACACACACACATATACGTATTCTGTTCTTGTGCGGTTCCTGTCCTGGCCCCCTCACCTGTTAATCCGTCTAATCTGAGCAGGTCTGCACCTGTAGGCTAACTTATGCCTGGCACCATCCAGATGGCTGAGGCCCCTTGAGGAATGCTGGGGTCGGTGGGGAGCAGGGTGAGGAGACAGCTGTGGCTGTTGTTGCAGTCACCATCATCCTCACAATTTGCATCTTTTCAAGGTCCTGTGTGGGCTTAGCAGATGGTTCCGTTTTGAGCAAGGGGGGGGGGCATTAGAAGAGTTCACAGAAAAGGTCTTATTTGCCCCTTGAAGGCACAAGTGGCTCCCTCAGACAGCATAGATAGAAGGACGGGCATCCCTGGTAGAGGGCACTGCCAGCGCAAAGCCTGGAGGCCTGAAGGCGTTCATCGTGCTCGGAAAACAAGGAGTCCCCAGTATGGCTGCAAAGCAGGAGGGTGGCAAGGCCAGTGAAGAGGAGGAGGGGCAGAAAATAGTCCGGTAGCTTGGGAGGGGCCGTAGGCACCAGCCTGCAACTCTGCTGAGCCTTTGGGGACAGGAGCCTCAGACAGGAAAGTGGGGCAGGCAGTCAGATGGGGAGGAGCCGTGGGAGGCCTGAGGATGGGGCCGGGGGCACATTCATGCACCCAGCCCTGAGGGGAGTGGACAGGTGCACTTTCAGGACTCAGGCTGGCATCTCCACCTTCCACCCAGCAACTCTCCTCTGGGAACTTACCTGGAGGGATTAACCAAACCGGTGAGCAAAGGGGTAAAGAGGTACCCGGAGGTCCATGGCTCCTCCTATCCACCTGCAGGGGAGCAAGAAGACTAGGCAGTCTCACTGGAATGCTTGCTCCAGGGCCCAGGTGCCAGGCAAGTGCGCTATCAGGACGGCCTGACCTGGTCATCCTGACGCTCCTCTTAGATGACTATGATCACTCACCCCATTTCATTGATGAAGACACTGAGGCTCCGCATGTCTGGAGTGAGCCAGGCAAGGCATCATGGGCTGACCTGGGTTCCCCCAAAAGTCATGTTGAAGTTCTAACTGATGTTTCCTCAGAACTCGGCTTTATTTGGAGATAGGGCCTGGAAAGAGCTAAGCATGTTAAAATGAGGTCATCAGGGTGGGCCCCAACCCAGTATGACTGGTGTCCCTGTAAGAAGAGATCAGCATGCAGACACAGAGGAAAGGCCATCTAAAGACGCAGTAAGAAGGCGGCCATCTGCAAGCCAAGACAGGCCTCAGTAGAAACCATCCCAGCTGACATCTTGGGCTTGGGTTTCCAGCCTCCAGAATTGTAAGAAAATTAATTTCTTTTGTTCAAACCACCCACCTGTGGTGTATTGCTGTAACAGCCCAGCAAACCAATACACAAGGTAGTGGACTAGAAAGTGGTTTGACCATAGGCCCCTCTGACCCCAGCGTCGGGGGGTTTCACTTTGGGTCCCCAGCATCCCTTCCAGAGGCTAAAACAACTCAGGACGCTGAGATTTTGCACTCTAGGGTGACAGGAAAATGCAGCTTATAGGACAGCAGGTCTGAACTGGGGCAGTGAGCGTGCATGCTTTCTTTTAAGTATCTGCAGAGACACTCACACACATACAGCTCTAGAAAAATCTACCCAAGGTATTGACAGGAGTTGTCTTTGTGTGGGTGGGATGATGAGCGTTTTCTTACTTTCTTCTTGTTGCCTCGCCATAGCCTGTGATTTTTCTGTAGTGAATGTGTAGAAAAATAAAAAGAGAAACAGCAAAAACAGTGGCCTTGGTAAGTGGAAGCCTGGAGGTGGGGAGGCCAAGGCATGAGGCAGACACAGGTTTCGGCTGGAGATGGTGAGTTCTGGGCTAGGCTTAGGGCAGGAGATGGGGGACAGGCTGGGGAAAGGGGAGGAGGACAGGGTGGTGCTGTGACAGTGAAGGGCTTGGAGGCACTTGGGGGATGGCAGGGGTAGGGCTGCT